TTTGTTGAGCGCCTCCACTAGTTGTCGCGTGTCCTCCACTATCTGGTCGATCGTGTAGTTCTGAGCGCCGGTAGGTTTGTCTGTGTCTCCATATCCCCTGTTGTCCACTGCGATCACGTGATAGTCTTTGGCGAACTCTTTCATCTGATGCCTCCACGAGTACCAGAACTCCGGGAATCCGTGAATGAAAAGCATTAACTGTTTGTTTTCATCGCCTTTTGACACGAAATGCATTTTTATGTCCTTTTAATGAATTGATTATAAAATATAAGTTTAATTTTAATTACTTTATTTTAGAAATATTTTTGGCATACTTTAAGTTGTATGAAGTGATGGGTTCCCAGTGCTGGGTCTTTGAGGCACTTTGGAGGCACATCCCGGCGCTTAGTATGGAAATAAGTGCTCCGATTCTTGATTATACTGAATGTGAGATAACAATGACACCAGAAACCCGTAGAAAATGGCTAATAAATTGGTCACAACTTTGGCCATAATAGAAACTTCCACTTTAAGCTCCGGTACTTTAGTTGATTTGATACTCATTTTGAATCACGATTAATATAAAATATTTTAAATCACTGAAATATAGTATCAATCACTTAAATAGTAAAATAAAATGACTGTAATGTTACGAATGCACTGAAAGCACTCAATAACTTGTACTTAAATACAGTACAATACACTTATGCAATATTTGAAGGTTACTTGTGTTTATCTCTCATTACTATTAACCATCATTAATACTACGAGAAGTTAGTCTAAAGTCATAAGTATTAGTTGAAGTTGAAGTTCAAGATGTTATCTACCATAAAATGTTTAATTCATAATTATTTTAAAAAAACTATTCTAAACTATCCAACAGAATATGAACCAGTAAATATTATGTTTCTAGAGTTATACTTTACACTTAATTAAGTTTTAAATTATAATTAAATTAAATTGAAAATTTATTATTTATTGCAATCAAAAGCATTTTAAAAATTTGTTTTAATGGAAATAATAATTGCAAAACATGCTATACGGAAATATTTAACAAATTTAAATACAGTATTATTAGTAAATCGCTTTATTTATGCCTCAAATGTATGCGTTTGTGTTTATTAAGGTTTGAAATATTGCGGAAACTTTTGCCGCAATCTTTGTGATCGCAAACGTATGGTTTTTCTCCCGTATGAATGCGGTTGTGTTTAACGAGTGATGATTTTACGGCCAATTTTTGTCCGCAATTATCTTCATTACAAACGAATGGTTTGAGTTTCAAATGAACCACTTTTTTATGTTTATTTACATCCGATTTCCGAGTGAATCGTTTGTCGCAATCCATGACATAGCAGGCGAACGGCTTCTCTCCCGAGTGGACCCGTTTGTGACGAATTAAACCCATTTTATATGCAAACTTTTGGTCGCATCCCTTATAATCGCAATGAAATCTCTTTTCCTTTGAATGAACGATACTTTTGTGTCCATTTAAATAGTATTTGTATAGAAAGCATTTGCCGCAATCCTTTTCATCGCACTTAAATGGCTTTTTTCCCGAATGCAGGCGTTTGTGTCGATTGAGGTTTGTTTTATGAGTGAATCGTTTTCCACAATCGGGATAAACGCATACAAATGGGCGCTCATTGACAGCATTTTGAGCACCGGAGCCAATAGTGCTGGCAATTGGCTCACAATAACCGCTGCCTTCTTCCTCAGTGTCGTCCTCTTCCTCCAGTTCTGGTGTCTCTATGCGTCCATCTCTGACACCACACCCGCCCTCCTGTGCCTCCAATACAACGGCTGAACCTTCGACTCCAATGTCCGACCCATCGATCACTTCATCCAATGTCTGCATCTCTTGTCTATCGATCGGCTCTTCAATTGTCTCCAAACGGTTGCGATCTTCAAGTCCTTCCTCTTCTTGTGTGTCTTTGTGTTGGTTTTCGACACTCTCTTCTACTTCTGACATCACATAGACTTCGGGTTCACCACAACACTCATCCATAACTCCATTCAATCCCTGTATCTCCCGGTGCTCTTCATGCTCACCA